CCCTTCTGTGAAGGGTTATGTGATCTAGCACAGTATATGGACTGTGATGTGCTCTTGGCAAAGGCAGATTCCATGATTCCCTTATCCCTTTGGTTCCTGATTTATTAGTTTTGCTTTTCATAAATATGTTTTTAAGTTACACAAATTTATATTTAGTTTTTGAAAAAAATTAGAAAATTTGGAAAGTGTTAACAAAAACAAACCAAATTTCCCTTGATGAAGAGGGATACTTTTAATATAATGAGATCCAAATTTTTAGAGAAGCCTTATGAAGATGTCTTTTTTACTTTTCATAATTCACTTGTTCTTTAGTCTTTTTTCCCCAAATGTCTCCTCTGGCAGGCATTCTTCCAGATGTTGGCAGTAAAGTAATCAGAATTTCTGTCTTCTTGGATCTTATATTTGTTGGAGGAAGGCATGTGAACTAAACATGCATAGAGTAGAATGTGACATAGTGATATGTCAACACTGAAATAGAAAGCAGGTACATGGAGTCAGGACGGTCTTTCTTCTGAGAGGGGTAGTAGAGGTTGAGGTAACTTCGCTCCAGAAGTCAGGGAGCAAGTCAAGGATCAAAGAATGAAAGAATGGCTGTTAGAGGAACAGCTTGTCTCCTGAGGGTCTCTCCTGGGACTGAACAGCCCATGTCAGCTGGACAGTAGCTCTCCAAAGCCCTTGCTCTGTACTGGAGCTAGAACACTGCACATCTGTTGTCTCCTTAAGCACCAAATTTAATCCAGGTCTGTACCCTGTCACCTCTTACTCTATGTTAGAAGCTTCATGAAGTTTTGACCTTACATTAATGTTTTTGTTTTCTTGGCAAACAAAAACATCCCTTATATAACCCAGGCCGTCAGCTGCTGGGAGGAAGCTCTGCTCCAGAGAACATTCGAATAGAAAGCTGCTCCTGTTCTCGAGAACATGGGTGTTTTCCAGCAAGAGGAGGTTTGCGAGGCTCTGCTGAGCAGGGATGGGATATGGGGCGACTTCCTGAGTCACGTCTTTATGACATACCTTCATTTTGTTTTAAATGAATTATTACAGCGATGCGCTTTTTTCTCCTTCAAATCAATGTATAAAAATATGATTTTTGAAATAAGAATGGTTTTTGTATTATCAGTTTGTTTGACTTCTCTTGTTATAAAACATCAAGCTAACTTGAGTGGTCCCAAACTATTTATTTGCTATAAACACAGAGCTCTTAGAATCAAGTATCTCTAATTTTTTTTTATTACAAAAGTTTATTTTTACATCATTTTGTACATTTTTTTTCCATCTCAATTGTAATCCCCGCGGGTTTCCCATCACCAAGTCACCCATGTGCCATCACCATAATCCCGTGCATTTCCCTCCCCCCCACCCCATTTTTGATCCCATTCCCCACTCCACCCCCACAAAATGTCTCTGGTATATCTCTAATTTTTTATAAATGCCAAGATGGTTTCAGAAATGTTTATTTGGAATCTAAACAGAAAACTCAAATCATCTTTTTTTTTTCTTATGCGCTCCTAAAAGAAAAATATTTCTAACATATGAAAGATAGACAGGTTATATGTTAAATAAAATAAAGCACTCGTGGGCACAAAGTAAATTGCAATCAGGTAAGATTCTGTTAAAGCCTTCTCCACTCCTGTAAATCCACAAAGATGTGAATGGTTATTGAAGCCCATTATCATCACCAGCAGTGAAATGACTTTGGAGAAAGGAACCTTTAAATGATGGATAGCTCAGCTTTAGGGTTAGTGCAGATTTCGTATTGCTTTTCAGGTCACTTCTCTGAAACTGGTAAGGGAAGCTTGGCTCCTGGAAGCCTCAGAAACAAAGCAGTGTGTTTCCAGATCCCACTCACTATTTCTGGGAGAGATTTACTCTGCTTGTCTTGCTTTTGGCTTTTCGTCTTGAGGGAATTAGGGTTAGCTAAAATATCTATGTGGCCATGTAATAGGAGAACCTGAGAAGTTCATCTGCTTTTGTTTGCTGAGCATTTCCTTCCTTCTACTTTACAGTAAATAATTTCCTCTTTATCAAATACTTCCACTTTAACATACTTCATGCATAATCCAAGTTCTGGCTGCTGGGGTAAAAGAAAAGACTTGGAAAATTTTAAATTATAGGATAATAGATAATTTGTACTTATATGTATGTAGACAACATATTAATATATATTAAATATATATACATATAATATATACACATATACATATAGTTACATATATACATGTAAAATAAGAGCATTTATATGATAACACTGTAGCCCTATCACAGAAAACTTTTCAATAGTATTAACTCATCATGGTTGGGAAGAGAAAGGTAGAGTTTCTTCTTCCAGTGTTGAAAACTGATCACCTCTGATTTATTTCAGTAGTCTAGAATGAAAAAAATTTCTGGTAAAATACTGCTACCAAGAGCCTTGCAGGTATATGATTTTTGTGGAATTTGACTTAGGTTTTTCAAGCTGCCACAGTTTATGGTTTAAGCTCTTATCACCCCCACCAAACAACTCCAGCAAATATAGCATGTTTTAATTTGAGACCGAGTTGGCCATGCCAAGAGATGGGGGTGGGCATATAAGGATGCTGTGTGGCTGGAGTGCGCCCGCCCACTTCCTTGACAACATGTGGAGCACATTATTATGGTCCTGGGCTCTAGATTTTAATTTCTTGGTGACAGGATCTCTATCTGGGGAATGAATTGTCTGGGCTTACTTTCTGGGTAATGATCATTTGGATGAAACGATTATTTTCCATGCAAACCTAAATAAGTTGCAGACACAGTGGGTGCCAAGGGTTTCTGTATGCACCGGGGGCAAGAAAAACAGAGGAGCCTGTTCTGTGTTAGTGGTAAGAAAGCATCTCCTGGAAGCTGACACATCTACATACTTAAATCCAGACTCAGATTAACAGAGTAGTTGACACTGACAGCGGCAAACCATCTCCAGCAACCAAATGTGCACCCTGCCCTGGTAAGTAACTGGGAGGATTTAGAAAGGCTCAGTGGCCACAGTTGTTTGAGAACTACACACAGTGAAGCATTCTGTCTAGAGGTTGTTCTGGTAGCAAATAGGGCTGTCTCATGTCCTTTGTCTCCACCTCATCCAGACATGGAGAAGACTTGCATCTCTTCTTTACCCCCTCCCCACCCATTTTTTTTTGGCTCACAGGAGTAGCAAAAAGCCTCTACTCTCAGACTGGATACCCGTGCTAATTTCTGCCTGGAAGATGGCAATTTAGAAAAAAATGTTACTTGCCTACTCAAATATGTACTACTTGAGTAGTAGATACGAATTTTATATACATGTGAGATAATTAATTTTAGAAGGCATTTCACCTTTCACACTGCACCAGTAATAGTTTCCCATGGAAGTCTGCACAAGACCATCCAGATTGTCTTAAATCATCCTATAAGCATTTCCTCCTCTTTGTTTGCCTTTCAACCCTGTAGGTATTCCCACAGTTTATATCCTGCACTTGGGGCTGATGTTTTATCTCACCCCATCTTATTTCCATTTCCCTTTCTCTTGGTCTGTGCCCTGACACACTTAGGGAGAGATCAGTCCTCTGCCAGATATTTTGGCTTTTGCTGGAGGCAGAGCTCCCTGGACACCCACGAAGCAAAGACCACTATTCTGAAAGGGAAAGAGACAGTTGTTCTTTTGAATCCTTGTTGCTTGAGGCAGGAATTTGGAAGGGAGAGATGACAGCTCTGCTGGAGAATGTCAATTCTTTTTTAAGTCTCAGTGTCAGAACCTCAGTGCAGCTGTTACTGGTGGGTGCAAGGAGTCAAGACATAGTTTTCTTCAACAGACAGTGAGAAGCCAAACCCTAGAGAAGATGCAGAAGGGGGAATGAACCCTCATTCAAAGTGATTGTGTTTCTGCATGAAAAGATCCATGAAAGCCAGTTCCCAGCAGCACTGCTCACAGTAAATAAGCAAGTCATGGAACCAACATAAGTTCCCACCAGTAGGCAACTGGTTAGAGAAATTATGACCAGATCCTCAGTGGGCTACTCAGCTATTAAAAAGGATGAAACTGCCTCTTGAGACAACGTGAATGGGTCTCGAGGTGATTGTGCTGAGTGAAAGAAAGTCAGAAAGGATGGATACTGGATGGTTTCACTCATCTATTGGTATATAAATAACCAAAGAAAACAAACTGGCAAAGCATAGCAAAAATAGCTCTTAGACTGTGAAAAATGCAGTGGTTACCGATGGAGGGGAGGGAGGGAGGGACAGTGTTGGCAATCTCCAGGTGGCCACCCTGGAGCTGGGGGGCTGTGGGGCAGTGGGCTTGTGGAAAGGTGAAGCTGATCCCCACACTGTGTAGTAACATGAGCAACTGGCAAATAAAGTTTGAGGAAAAAAGGGTTGTATTCATCACCAATTTGTTCCTGTAATTACCTCAAACATAATTGTGTTTTGTGTGGCTTCTGAATCATGGCTTTCTCTTCCAAGGTGAATGAAGAGATAGACATATATTGGCTAATACTTGCTTTCTCAAGGTGAATTTGTGTAAATCCTCACAAGCTCTATTTGGAAGTATTTATTACCGAAGCAAAGTGAAAAGCCCTTGCCTTGAGGACAGGATTAGGGCGGGAGTCACTCATTGTTTTCATGAGATCTCTACATCCTCACTGGCAACTCATTTTATTGTAAACACGTTTTCTTGCATTATAACAGTGAGAGCACATTGGTGGCCAGTGATAACAAGTGACTGTGTTATAGAAGGACTAGTCAAGGAAGCTGTCAGATCTATCTGCAACTTCCCCTCCATCCAAGCTTGAAATCATTTTCTAAGGAAAGTACACTGTTAGGTTTAAGATCTGGTCCATATTTTGAGATATCTGCGGTATCTTAAGTTCATCCACAAGGCAAGAGCCAGGGCAACCTGGATGATATCCCTAATCCCTTCTTTTTCTCATTTTTAGGTTGGTTGTGATGCTCTGGGTCCCCCACCCCTTTCTCTGTTGTGTTTGTGTTGATTTAGGGTCTTTTCCTTCTAGGAAACAACGTGATGAGAACCATCCACGGGGTGGGAGAGATGATGACGCAGATGGTGCTTAGCCGAGGCTCCATCTTCCCCATGAGTGTGCCTGACATCCAGCCCAGCATCCACCCCAGCAAGCAAGGGAGCCCGGTGGAACAGGAGGACGTGACCGTCATGGACACTAAGCTGAAGATTATTGAGATTTTACAGGTGTGTCTTACCGGGGAGCTACTTCACATATAATCTTTGTGCCGAAGGATTAACAACTTCTACTTCTTACTCCAAATCACTGTGTTAGTAATCTGGAATGCTGTTGATTTAATTTTAATTATTTTAACTGAATGACAAGCTTGGTTAAAAATCTCAGTTGAAAAGAAATGTTGTTCAATTGATTAATTACATTTCCTCATTCCCATTCAGAGTGTCAACGATGATATCTGACAAATGTGGAGTGCTTCGGGGTCAACAAAATCTCATATGAATTTTTTTCTTATAGCCTTGACCCTGGCTACCTGTAACTTTATTTAAGAAGGATGTCAAGAGCCAAAACTGATGCTTTGATTCCAATTCTTTTCTTATTGACTTGAATAATTGAATGGACATATGATTTCATGTATCTAGATTTGTGGTTGTAGCAGAAACTCAAAATTTTATTACTAAGGTGAACATTAATAATTGGTTTCAGTGTTTTCTATATGTGACTATCTCTAGTTTTTTTTCCAATAGGCTAGGATAATACATATATTTTAAAATTAACCTAGGCTGATACTTAGCTTTGTCAATTTAAAAGAGAGAAATTATTATTTTATGCCTGCCGGCTTAGTGAAGAAATATCCCATTACTGTAACTAAGGATCCCCAGCTTTTTTTCTTTTAAATTACAGAAAGTAGTTCTATGATACTTTAATTATAGCACTTATTCCAGATTTGTAGTACAGAGCCTGGAGTTTTCAAGGATCTATTAAGATTCTGGATACAGTTAACCAAGTCTTTCATCATCATTTCAAGTAGACTCAGCTGCCAGGGGTAGGTTGTTAGCCTAACATTTTTTAAGTAATTCAATTTAGAATCATAAAAGGGTTCACCATTCCCCTGGGACTTCGAAAGGCTGAGCCCTGAGAAGCATCAGCAGACCAGTCACCACCATGGACATGACCCAGAAGCTCACATTGCTATCTTTAAACTGAGGGAGTGCTCACCTGCCCTATGGACTGAATGGGCCCTCAGCTTAGCATCTTCCTACTCCTGGGATAACCTCTAGGTTATGGGGCCTCCTTTAGCCCATAGTTACAGGAATACACTGTAAAGGACCCACCTCAAACTGCTGAAAAACAGTGGTGGGAAACCAGTAGCTGCAGCTGAGGGCTGGCTGGTTTTGGCTGCCGCTGTGGGTCTCTGTAGGTCTTCCTAGTTGAGCCTGTGTTCACTCTGCTTTTTGTGCCTCTGTCTGTTCTTCTGAGCAAAACTTTGTAGCCTTTCTCTGATGAAGTCCCATCCCAGCTCTCTGTCCGTTGCTCATCCCCTTCATGGGTCTTCCTGCCTTTGCCTACTGCTTTGTGTTCTTCTTTGCTTTTTTTAAATTCTTCCTTCAAAAGTTTATTAAACACATCCGTTTGTTTTTTGTCTATACCACACGTGAGCAAAATCTTCCAGTGCCTCCTTCCTTCTGATTCACATCTCTGAGCATCATTCTCTGCTAGGTTCTCCCGTGCTGTTGCAGTGGCAGAACTCCATCTTTTGTGTAGCCGAGAATGATCCTATCATGTATTTAGATGACATCTTCACGGGTCCGTCGGCCCCCAGGTAGTTTACAGCACTTGGCTATTGTGAGTAATCATTTGATGAGTAGAGGGTGCATAGATCTCTTTGAATTGGTGTTTTTCTTCCTTTGGTAAATACCCAGAAATAGAATAACTGGGTCATAGGGGATTTCTGGTTTTACTTTTTTGCAGAATCTCCATATGGCTTTCTACTAGGGTGGCACCAATTTACCTTCCTTTTATTTTCCTTCCTCATTCTCTCTCTCTCTCTTTATGGTTTTCTCTCAGCTTTATTTCACTGCCTTTAATTTTGTTCGTTCCCTTTGTGTTTTGGTTATATCGATACAACAGAATTCCCGGAGTACTGATCTTCAATACGTGTGAATTCAGGTTTTATTATTTTTTTCTACATATGCTCAATAAAGAACCTCATATTTTGCACTCTTGCTCTGCCAAGAATAAATCCAACAGTCCTTTGTTAGTGCTTACTGCCCATGATCTGGCTCCTGCTTCGAAAATCCCCATTAAGTAGACTCTGTCCATGCAGGGTGTGATGAAACGCTCACCTCAAGTTAATGAAGAGTCTGGTGTTTGTTTTCCTCCAGATTATGTGCTCTTCAAAGGGAGCTCTTGTGTATATGGCACCTCCCTCAGTAGCTGGCTTAACAAATATTTGTTGAACTTAACTGAACAGAGCTGACAAGGAGCATATACTTTTGCAGAGGAGAAAGAATGAACAGAAGGGAGGGAGATTGATTCAGTGAGATTCAGCTTTGGGCCTATAGGTATTAGGTATAAATAATGTGTTGGGTGAGCAAAGGGGAGAAAAATTGATTTGCACTGGGGAACCAGGGAAAGCTTTATTAAAAAAGGGATTTAAACGAGACCTTGGAGGTATCTTGAAAGCTGGTTATTATGGGATGGAGGAGAAGAATATCCAGGGTAACATGGACACTGAACAAATGTGCGCAGATAAGAGAGTACAGGCACTCCATGGTGCCTGCTGGAGCTGTTGGAACAGAGAAGGGTAAGAGTGTGAAAGAAAAGGGGTTGGGAGGGAAGCCCAAGAGGGAAGCCCAGGAAGGAGGGAACAAAATTTGATACCAGAATAGTGACAGATGAGGTTAGATAGTATCACAAAATACCAAGTTTTCTAAAACCTGAGTGTTCATTATTTACTGTCCAAAAAAGACACTTGAGAGCTCAGAGGCTCTCACATAGCCTAGGGACAGTGCCTAGACTGATGTGCCTTACACTGCTGGGATGGCCAGCGCCCTGGGAGGCCACTTCTCACCCCAAAGTCACTAGCACCTGCTACCTTTTCCTCTTTTGCTCCCGGTTTGTATTCTGCTCCATGTGCTTTTGACCTCTGTGATTTTCAAATTATGTGAACAGTGGTGGGTTTTGTTTCTCAGCTCTTTCGTTGATATCTTCGTGTGTGAAGTCTTCATAGAATTGGGACCTTGTTGGCCCTCAGTTTCTGTCAGTGTCAGTTAAAGGGAACAAGGTCAATGGCTAGGACCCATGGAAAACAAGCTCTAAATGAGGCAAACCCCTGCTATGTAGATGCTATTGCTTCAGCTGCCTCTTGGAGCCAAGACCCAGGACTGTGGACCAGCCAGTGTCCACACAATGGTAGGTGAAACCTCAGCTCCACATGAGTGAGGGGCAGACCTCCAGCCTCCTCTCACAGCTGCTGGAAGCTCTGCAGAGTGCTGAGTGTGCCTGCCAGCACCACCTCCCCACTCCGACCCAACGCCACCTCCACCTAGACTACTCAGGGAACTAACCCTGGGAGCCACATTTCCTCCTCTCCAATAACTGCGCTGGGATTTTCCTGCCATTGGCTGACAGATTTGCATGCCCTCTCTTGGTCTCTTGGCTAACGAGCACCTTTGGAGCCGGAGCATCCAGAGTTACAAACGCCATTTTCTCACCAGGTCGTGTGATGTGACGGTGGTGATGGTGTCCTTGGGGTCATGTCACAGGATGTAAATCTGTGCTCACAAAATTGACGATTCACATGGTTTTTGTTGTTCCTTGTAGTTCATCCTGAGTGTCAGACTTGACTACAGGATCTCATATATGCTGTCCATATATAAGAAGGAATTTGGAGAAAATAACGAAAGTACTGAAAGCCCTACCAGCGGCTCACCAGATACCTTACTGCCATCAGGTAGCTTCCTTGTGGGGACGTGTACCCTTTGTCTTTTGTTTTCCTAAGAACTAAAATATTCCATTCATATTTTAAAATACAGTAATATTTCTAGGGGGGGGGCAGAAATGTTGATGGAAATAATCTCTATCAGTGACACATAGTAACTGAGGCCAAGAGTTCTGTAACTGGCATAGAACAACAAGGAGAAGCTGTGTGGAATACAGTTTTTTTAGAATCTTCACAATGCTGCAAAGCAGAGGTCCTGTTTGTTGTGGCGTTTTATAGACGTGAAAACCAAGATCAGCAAGGTGTTACCTGCTCCGGCTTGTGGGGTCAGGGGTTTTCTCTGAGGTCTCTTGTATTCCAGAGTATGACTCTTTTCAGCATTCTACCATTTTGGTGAGAACCCATGGGAAATTTTTCTCCATCAAGAGAAAAGGTGTTTTGTAGGAAGCTGTCGTTAAGAGTTGTTTATCATCATCATCATCATCATTCATCATTTAGAGATAACATTCCTGATGGTCAGAATGTAGTTGCTGGAGTTCTTGGGCACGTGTGCACACACATATATGGGCATGTGTATGTGCTTATTTAATGTGCTTATAATCTGGAACTATTTTTCAGTTGTCACATGTAAAACATATAAATAAAGTTGCTGTGAGTATAGGATTGTAGTAATGAAAGATCATAGAAATGATGGTAACAATTTTGTGACTGAAAATTCTCTTGTGAAACCCAAGAAAAGTAAAGTCCCATTTTTTCCAAGCGACACCAGCCCTGCATGACTGATGGGAAACTTGTCCTATCAAAGGCCCAGGCGGCGGCCCAAACTCCTTTACTACGGTAGGACTTGTACACAGATATTAAACCACCTTGAACCCCCCACTAGGACACTGCTGGGCTCCTCCCCTTCTTTGTCCACCAGTGTGACAGGCCAGATGCAGTGGCTTTAAGTGTTAGTTGGCATGGCTGCTGCAGCCAATGTCCGTCACTCCTGCTTCTCAGTGCCATTTGCAAGGAGCTGACCCTGGAGTCAGAGTCCTCTCGTCCCAGAGAGAAGTCCCTTCCACCACATTTGCCATCAAGTTGTTCTCATGCTTCCAAGTAATGTGGAAACTCCCAGGGCTGTTTCCAGGAACAATAAGGCAGAATCAGAAAGTCTTGCTGGCGGTTGCACTGACAGCCCAAAAATTACTGGCTCGCAGAAGCCAGACTTCTGAAATGAGAGCGCTCCGTGTCAGGAGCATTGGGAGGAAAGCCTGGGCACCCCCAGAAACCACTCCTCTCTGCCACACCTTCTCCTTGTCATTGGTTGAATTTGTGGGAGATACAGAACTGAGAACAGTGACTTTTTTTTTGTTTCCCACTGTTTTCCTTTATGCTTTGGAATGAGAGATAAATTGTGTTTATATTTACACAGTTTATTTACAGAAGTTAGTTAGGGTTGGTGAGGAATCATGATTGGTCGTATTTAAAAACTAAGCATCCTGTCCCACAAGAAAAAGGGGTGGATTTTAGAAGTCTGCTCAGGTAAAAGGACCGTGCTGATTTGAAGTACCATATAAGAACAAGGTTCACTATATGGGAATATTTTGATTCTTTAAAAAATTACCTGTACCTGTCCTCTCCCATTTAAAGTGTATGTACAGGCGTGGCAGACTTCTCCTGCCTCACCTGGTGCTCCCCTCAGCAGTGTACTTCGTCAAACTGCCTGTTCTGCTCCCCACTCTGTCTCTGTTGAATCCTCTCACTGCCTCTGGCCTGTACCCCAGTTCTGTATGTATAAATAAATAAAAAAATCTTAAAAAAAAGTGTATGTACCCAGATATAAATTTTATACATACATATACATACTTACATAGATAAGGTGACCTTGTAGGTAGTAATTTTCTGACCTTGTAATATACCATTGTACAGCAGTACACATTAAACATATAAAAATGTCTGTTTAAAGTACTGATACCTTATGTGGAACTGCATTGTGATTGTTAAAGTTGTTCATTGATTTTGGGTGGCATAAACAAATTAAGACACACAAATATGAATATAAATATTGTGACTCCTAATTGGGATTAGATAAAGGTTGGATTTTTCCATTTATCTTTGCAGCTATTGTTCCTGATATTGATGAAATTGCAGCTCAGGCAGAAACTATGTTTGCTGGAAGGTAGAGTAACATTTATGAATCTTCCCCTTGTAAATAAAATTTTACTCGGTATTTTGTTGATAGTTTGTTGTTGGTCACCTTCCTATATCTGCTTATTGTTTTCATATTTTTAATGGAGGCTGCCTGCATTTACAACTTCCGTTGTTGTAAGCACCCCAGCCACTGCACCTCTTCCCCCACTCTGCTCTTCCTTCCCTCCCCCCACACCCCCTAGTAGAACCCTAGTTCTGCAGTCAGTATTCTAGGGTGTGTCATCTGTTTATTTTTAGATCCTTTATGTTGCCAAGATCATTTCTGTTAGAAATGAAAGTTGCTAATGTCCCAAAGGGAAGAAAGCATAACTTTTCTTTAGGTCAGGTAATAGAAAGGACGAGATGAGGTCAGCATGTTGAACTCTTCCCTGCATTCTTTGCTTTTCTTTCTTCAAATAATGACAGCACACAAATGCCCTTTAGCTCCACTGGTATAAACACTGCCATATCTTGCAAAAACACTGCTTTCCTGAATCTGGTAAATGTGAGGCAAGAAACTCAGGTCTTTTGACATTATCGTTAACTTTCGATGTAAGAAATAAAGCCATTTCCTGGCAATTGGAACTGAGCATGATTGAAGGAAATGAAGTGTAGCTGGCAGGACGACCCCTTACTCCCAGGGCCTTGCCATTTATTGTCTTTAAGTTGTTTCTTTTTCAGAAACAACAGTCAAAATTAAAATTTAAAAAAGAGCAAAATTTCTATGCTACAAATGATTGCATTAGTAGCTTTCATTCTTGTCACAGACTTTTTATGAAAACACTCAAAGAATTTCTCTCCTAAGTCTTTTCTTGTATCTTCTTTGGCTAGAAAGACAAATAAGAGTGGCGAATGAGGGGAACCAAAAGAATTTTTCTCTCTAGTGAGCATTTGACTTGCTCTGTTCTATGATTGTTTTCTAGTTTTTGTCATTGCTCTTGTGTTTTCTACTTAAGCATTCTTTTATCCCCAAGAAGAGACAATGAACTGGTGTGTGGTTTTCAATCTATCCAGTAAAATCTTGTTCAGAGCTGCCTTTGCAATGGCGGTGTGTGTGTGTGTTGTGTGTGCACACGTGAGTGTCTAGGTGTCTGTGGGTGTGCATGTACTCTGTCCTCTGTCCTCCCCAGCTCCTCACTGCCTGCTGTGTCCAGGTCTCTAAGCTCTGGGGAAAATCAGTGGCTGGTTTCTCTTTAGCAAAAGCTTTGGATTGATTCAGATTCTTATCCGTTGTCCATGCCTCAGTGACCATGTCATCTGGACTTTTCCAAAGCAGCAGTCCTCCACACTAGGCCCCCCGAAAGCTTCAACAAAGTGAGATGGTTGGTTGCTCTGCCTTCACAGAAAGACATGTGCATATTTTCTCACCAGTTACATTCATTTTCCAACTTGTGCAAAAACGTGATATAACTATAGGAACCTAGACACAATCTTAGCCATATGTGAGTAGGTTTTATAGCAACATAAACTGTTTTAGCATTTTTTCTTTTGTTTCTATAGAAAGGAAAAAACTCCAGTTCAGCTGGATGATGAAGGAGGCAGGACATTTTTGCGGGTGCTCATCCACCTCATCATGCATGACTACCCCCCTCTGCTCTCAGGGGCCTTGCAGCTGCTTTTCAAGCACTTCAGCCAGAGGGCCGAAGTCCTACAGGCGTTTAAACAGGTGAGACTGAGCTGCCCTCGGTGCCCTGGCCTGGAGGCTGTGCACACGCTGCTTGTGCCAGCCTACACGGCTGCTTTCCTCGAACACCGTCTATCTTGTTTTTCATATATTTTTAATTTCTATATATTTTACATCATTCTTCATTTAATACAGTGTGTGCTTTCTCTCCCCAGGTGTAGTCCCCACAGAATTCCCACCCCCAACTCACCCGTGCACACTCACCATAGTCCCTTTTGCTCTTCCCTCCCATTTTGATCTGATCCCCACTACCCCCCACAGAATGTCTCTGATTTATAGTTGCTTGTTAATTTTGTTTTTTTATTTGTTATAATTATATAATTATTTTTTCCCCAATCCCTTATATGGTACCTCTATATTCCTCCTATAGGTGAAAACATCGATATTTTTCTTTTTCCTTCTGTCCTTATTTCACTTAGCACAATCCTCTTTTTTGATTGCTGAGTGGTAAGTATATGCCCAAAAATAGATGACTGGGTCAAAAAGATGTGGTATATATACACAATGGATCATTTTCTGTTTTTAAAGATTCATATGTTCTTGTCCAATACCAAGGCATGACCTGTTTTAGAAAGAGTTCTCTACAAGTGAGTGTCAGTTAATATTTTTACTGTAATTGACAGGTAATAAGATCTAGGAAGCACTGGGGGATCAAACCATATTAAGGAATTTTGTGCCCTGCTGTTCTTTGACCCCAAATTTTACCGATTAATTTGGGTGGGACAAAAGGCAACCCGGAAGTAAATGTTTTGTGATTGAAAAAATGTATAAGCCTAAAACAAAGAAATTCTTATGAAAATAATCCATTTTCTTTTGAGTGACATCAATCTTGAGATTATTATGAATATTACCTAAGTGATTACATGTGTTTTGCTGATTTTTAATTTATTTAGTAAGCATTAATGTGTTAATATTTTGGTTAGAGTACACCAATATTGCCAGGTAAGTTTTCATGGATAATTTACATATCAACACCTCTAAATAGTCATAACTAATCTTGAAATACTAAGCCTACTAAGAGACAAATATATTGTAAGACTTGGGGTTATATATATAAATGAAGTAGAAGTAATTACAGTTCCATAAATTGATTTAATGTATTAAATTTTTGTTTCCAGGTGCAACTGCTAGTGTCCAATCAGGATGTGGATAACTACAAACAAATCAAGGCTGATCTGGACCAGCTGCGACTGACTGTAGAAAAATCTGAGTTATGGGTTGAGAAGAGCAGTAACTATGAGAATGGAGAAATGGGTGAAAGTCAAGTAAAAGGTGGAGAAGAGCCAATTGAGGTTTGATTTCATGATATTTTAGAATAATCTACAAAATATCTTTTAAATTATATATGCCCTACTGTCAAAATTTTTCGAAAACAAAAAATTTGTTCTGAGTAACAGAATATAAAAATTTTATTTTCCAGGTCTGTTTATTCCATAGATCTGTACTTTAGTTAGTCTTGGTCAATTTTTACCATTTCTACTTTACTTTCTTTACTCTTTGTTCTTTCCATTATGATCTTGTACTAAGGATAATAGGAGGAAGTGAGATGCATGTGTCCTAAAATTGGACTAAAAGAGGACTTTTTTGTTGCCACTATTCTTTTTTTTTTTTTAAAGATTTATTTATTTATGTATACAGAATTGGGGTACAGGCTAGAGGTGCAGGAGTGGTGAGAGGATTCACTAGAAACAGAGTGTGGAGCAGAACAGATCGATGGATGAAATACACTGCTGAGGGGAGCAGCAGGAGGGTCAGGAGAGGTCTGCTGTGCCATGTGGGTCACCTCCAGGGTAGGACAGGGATCGAATTCATGCTGAAGTGGCTTTTAGCTTCTTAGTGCTGTGCTTTAACCCACTGCGCCACCAGGGAGGGCCTGCCACTATTCTTTGTGGGTAATTATACCCTAGAGGTCATTTCTGTAGTTATTGCATATCCTTGTGCACTATATTAAAGTATCTAAATGGAGGACAATATAGTTTTTATCAAGAGGAAAATACCAGAAATCTGTATTTGATCTAAAGAGTGATGAGATGGTGATTGTAAGTCTTCTGCGGCAGTGGTTTTCATTTTCAGTGGGCTGATTAAAATGAATAGCCATAACCAAGTCAGAAGATTTAAGGAATACTTCAGTGATGATCATTACATAACATAATTGATAATGTATTGATTTTTGTAGATGCTGGTCTAGTGATCCTTTTAGTTGTTTTATACCCTGCAAGATTTTAAGCTATTTAGAGGTCATTTCTGACCCCAGATTTTGCATATGTTGGAATACCAAATAATTTTGGAGTGAAAGGTAATAAAAGAGTAGGAGATACTTAAAATCATCAAAATGTTGAAAACCTCTCAAGGGAAATTCCTCTGGGGTAAGGTAACAAGGGACATGAATAATCAGTCTGACAGAGGGTGTCTGAGAAAGAAAGCTGCTTTACATAGTCCTAGGGACTTCCGGTCAGTACTGGGGTAAGCCCCAGTGCTAGTTACCATTAGTCTGTACATAATTTTTGAATTAATCTCTTCGGAACATTTTTTTAGAGATTATATAATGTAAACTAGTAGAATGTTGAATTTCTACCCCTTAAATTTTATTTTATTACTAGATTTAATTTATTGAAATAGGCTTCTTCCATAGCATTCTTAAGAAGTAAAATAAAATTTAACATTTATTTTAACAATTACTCTGTACCAAGTCTTAATGCAAACATTTTCATGTATGGTACTTCTATTTACATGTTGTAACCAACTTTAGAAATGCTTCTATTTCTGAGGATGAGTCCAGTCCATTGGAGGCCAGAAAACCCAGGATTTTCCAATTAGCTCTGTGCGACTCTAATGAGATTGTAACTCAGGTCTTTTTGATAAGTTCCAGGCTCTTTGTTGTCAGGTTGTACCTCCTGACATATTATTTAAATACATCAAGAGATGCATTATGTTTTCACAAGGTGAGACTAACGCTTTCTTTTGAAAATACACATTCCATAGATATTCTAGAGAGTAAAATACATTGCTTCCTCTTACAGAAGAGTTTATTTAAAAGAGCCTTAAACCGTACAAAAATGCTTTGTGTTTTTTGTGAATGTCTGCAAAAACAAACCGCCAGCCAGTGTAGGTGAGGTGTCGCACAAAGGGCATTCTTTATAACTCTGCACTTGAAGTTCCAATCTGCTAAGGACAGTGGAGAAAGAGCCTCTGTTGTAGTGTATCGAACGTGGCATCTTCCTAACAGTTAAATAAACATTTAGGTAACAAGGGACATGAATAATCAGTCTGACAGAGGGTGTCTGAGAAAGAAAGCTGCTTTACATAGTCATTAGAAAACTATTTTCCTAGGGACTTCCAGTCAGTACAAGCAGGGATTTATTTTGTAGAGTACAGAACTTATCAACTTAGAAAATGATAATTATTTCAAGCACTTCAGGCAGGAAGTGATTTCATACAAGGAATTGAATTTTGGGAAAACCTGAAAGAGCACAATTTGGAATCTGCCCCCGGCACTGCTGATTTCAAGATTAATCATGCCTCTAGTTTAAAGGTCAAGATGTTGGTTGGCTGCTGCTTTTGGGCTGCTACCACTGACGCACACCTCAGAATATGTCACTAGATGATGGAGCACTCCTGTACTGGGATTTTTTTCTCAGCATTCCAAACCCCAAGGATGGCCGAGAGTTGGATAGGAGTTAAGAGTTTGCAGTTAGGCACTACTGTGTCTGTGTGTACAGAGCAGCTACTTTCACCTTTAAGTTTTATTTTTATTGTCTCGTCAATGGACATCATCACAGAACTGATGTCCTGGGACTGTTGTTCCAGTTAATATGGCTTCCAAAGGAAAATAGAAGCAATAAGGTCACATGATACTTACAAGTCAAGATGTTAGACTGTAGTTTAAATTAACTCAGTGTTTCAGTGCTATTTCATGGACCAGCAGGCTTAATTCTCAGGCAGATTTTTCTTAGCGCTGCCTCTTGGGGTAATGTCGTAGGCATCACCCCCTGAGCCCACCAAGGAACCATATTTAAACCTTCTGGTGTGGGATCTTCTCCGGGTGTCGCTCCATAGATGCTATTGCATGGATCCTTGGCCCAAAGGACACATGCTTACCTCTGACAGGCTGTAAGATTAGACTAAGGAAAAGACACTCCTTGAGCTGAGTTACAGGAAGGTTAGAGGACAGAACATTATCAGAAATTGCAGCAAGGAGGGATGAAGAAGAGGTGTTCATTGGCATTCAAGAACGTCTGTCCATGTCAGCAGCCAGTGAGTGCTTGTTAAAATGTGTATTGGTTTTTATGTGCAATGTACTGGGGTTTTTACTATAGTGGATGCAGAATGATGAAATCTTAGAGTTAATTACTGTAGGGTATGAAGTCCAACCTTTGTTTTGTCTCTTAATAGCTCACCTAAATCAAGCAGTTCTTGAAACAAACTTCTACAATGGGAAATTCATTACTCCTGGAGGTAGCATTTCTGTTGAAATGAATGTATAACTTAGGAAAAGAGAATATTGTCAGTAACATATCCCTGACAATATTCCTCCCTAGGTCTCAGACAGTACCACTCTGAGTATACCTTGTTCATTCCCTGGCCTTTCTTAATGATTTTACTACACATGTATGTTTTCCTGAAACTTAAGAAATATATGAAGCCAATTTCATCTAGTCTGTTTGATTTATGTTTTTTCTTTCCATCCTTGTGAATGTGTAGGTGGAGCTCATTCATTTCCTCTAACATCAATGCATTGTGTGTCATTGTTTACCGAGGTAACTACTGAGGGACAATTTTGATTCTTTACATTCTAGTGTTAGTAAAGGAACTTTGCTGCCAAAGTAGTGCTGTGAGGATTCTTGATTTTCACTTGATGCACATCTGCAAGAGATTCACATTGTTCTCCACTCATGACTGCTGGTTTACTCATCTTTACATTTTTTTGATAATTGGGTGTGCTTGATAGATTTTTGCTGTTATAATTTTCATTTGCTTATGAGATTGAGCATGATTTCATGTGTCTTGGTCACTTGACTTCCTCTTCCACTTAGTTAAAAGCTGGATTCTGTATAGTTAGGTAGTTGGATCCTACAGTTCATCTGTATCTGTTATTAGAGTTAAAATATCTTTTACTTCATGTCAGAGTGGTGCTGTGGGATCACACTTGAATCTTATTTTTTCATGTCTTGCTACTTTTTTTTTTTGCTTTGGTAAGATTTCCCCCTGTGATGGTGAGTAGAAGTAGTGATAATGGGCATCTGATTTTAAAGGGAATGACCTTAATATTTTATTATCGAGCTTCATATTTATTTTACTGTTTTGGGTGGCTATTCTATCAGTTGGGGAGATTTCATTCTCTTCCTAGTTGGCTGTTGTTTTTTTTATGTCATGTATGTTTCTTTAATGTAAAATACAGTTTATGCATCTGTCAAGACTGTTAATCCTTTTTAACCTTAATCTGGTAATTTTAATAATATGAATCATAAATAGAGCTTCTGACATAGTAATCTTGACTTCTAGAATAAATGAATATTTTTTCTTTTTAAAATAACATTTTTATGAAGGTGACATTGGATTAAAACCTTATTTCATTCAGAAATATAGCACCCCACCTCTTCAGATGTCTGTTACCAGTGGAATAGATGTATTGTGGGGATATGTTTTTTAACATTGCTAAATTCAGCTTGCCAATATTGGTTAGGATTTCACATCTGTGCTGTCAATAAGAGTACCCTGTAGTTGCCATTTCTTCCCCCACTCTGTCAAGTGTTCATGACAGGTTAGATCCCACAGTAAAACAAGCTGCAAAATAGGCCCCCTTGTGTAAGAATGGGACGACACATTCCATGAAATTACTGGTAAAACTTAACTACGGAGGCCGTGGATTTAGTTTCTGGGAAGAGTAAACTACTATTTGAACTTCTTGAGTGGTTATAAGTTTATTCATATTTTTAATTTTGCATCACTTTGTTTTACCTTTTTTATTCATATATTAATTTTTTAATTGATTGGCACAACTGGCTTGCAGTTTACCTATTGACTTTTAAATTTTATTCATTTTCCTTTTTTAGACATGAAATTAGATTTTTCTTTCAAATCTGTAAGGTCATTCTGGACCATCTTTTTTTGCTCCCTAATTTAGTGATTCCCTATGACTCTCTAATATAGCTTGCTTGCCATGATTCCACCATCTAACCTACTTGGAAATTTCTTATGAGTCTCATTTGATTTTGTTTCTGTTTTTGTAATCTTTGGTGATGAGCTCCTCGATTTCTTAATAGACTTTATTTTTTATCAGCTTCAGGTTTAG